AAAAAAAAAAAAAAAAAAAAGAAAAAAAAAAAAAAAAAAAAAACAACAAAACAAAACACCAGAGAACAAGCCTGTGACCTTTATCAGTCTCCTTTTTCTTTTTGGAATGCCACATTGTCATCTCTGCTCTTATATCAAAAGATGAAAAACGAGTGAAGTGTTCCTGGTTCTCTGCTGTGCATGCAACAGGATAAAGTCCTCGAGTTTGAATGCTGCACGTCCCAAACCCAAGACTGACACACGTGCACCATTTCCAAAGCACACAACAAAACGTGTTCCCTTCCCGAAGCTGCTCCTCCGCACGCTCGACCTTGCACCACAGCTGCTAAAGACACTCATTTTTATCCCCGACATCCATCGCACACCTCCGTGTCCTGGCCTTCACAGCAAGTCACGTCACTCCCTGACATTCACCGCCTGTCTCGGCAGGCCGTGCTCAGCGAGCCTCCTCACTGCCCCATGCACAAACCTCGCCTCCATTTACTTTCGGGCACTAATTAGCTGGCACCTTTGGCTTCCGCCCACCCTCCCAGCACCCAAGCCACGGTGACGCCGTGAGGGTGGTCGCCTCCACCACGCCCGACCCTGACGGACCGGGGCTTCACCGACAGCTCAGCGTGCCGGGGCCGGGCAGGGGCTGCGGGCAGGGCAGGGCAGGGCTGGGGGCAGCCGCGGGGGCGGCCCTGCGGGCCCCAGGCTCACCGGGAGCGGCCGCGGCGCCGTCAGCCCCCGCCCGCCGCGTCAGCGCCGGCGCCGCCCGGAAGCGCCGCCCCGCCCGCCGCGTTGCCACGGGCACCGGGCGGCCGGGCCCGGCCGAGCGCGGGCTCAGGGCCGCTCTCTGAAACCCCCCGGGAGGGGGCCGCAGCCCCGTGCGGAGCGGGCTCTTCGCCCAGCTGCACCGGGGGAGGTTTGGGTGGGACGTCAGGAGGAATTTCTTCACGGGAGGGATGGTTAGATATCGTAATGGGCTGCCCAGGGAGCTGGTGGAGTCACCGTCCCTGCAGGTGTTTAAGGAGACTGGACACGGCACTCGGTGTGGCGGTCTGGTTGACGTGGTGGTGTTCAGTTGGACTCCGTGGTCTCGGAGGTGTTCTCCAACCTAATTGATTCGGTGATTCTGTGAAATTGCGTGGCACGATCACAATCGGCAGTGACCTGAGGAAGCATCGGATGCCAGCGGATGTGGGAGCCTGTCAGCATGCTGTGTGCAAACCCCCTGCACCGCCGTGTGTGCAGGATCGCCGGGCTTCCACATGTTCTTCTCCTCTGCGATCTATGTGGGGGCACTGGTTGGCTGTTCAAATGGTTTTCCTGCCTCCATCGTGACACCAGCTCTGGGAGAATGCTTTGATTTCCCAGAGAATTGCGGTTGCCTTGTTGCATTATAGATCATCTTTTCCAATTGCTCCTGGCTTCTGAGCAATACCAGGCTTCCAACCCCAACTTACTGACACAGATCAAAAAAAACCCCACAACCCCAACATTGTATTCTTTGAACTGAAAACTCCTCCGTGAGTAGGAGCAAGGGCTGGCCATGGCAATGACCTCTCCTGCTGGCTGAGAGGCTGGTTAGTGTTTGTGGTATGCAGCCCCTTGAGCCTCTTGTCTGCATACATCAAAACACTGACTGAAGCCACCCACAATGCTGGACTACAAGGGGCAAGAGTGCGTTGTTAATAATCATTTTATAGTCCTGGGTCTAAGATGAGATTTATTTATGAGGGGAAGCTGAATGAGAAATGCAGTCCTTCAGGTGGGAGCTCTGAAGAAAAGAGACTGACATCCTGACCCTGGCCACTGACAGGAGCTTTACATCAGTGAAGCTCCCGAATTGATGAGCCAGACCCTGATCCCTGCATGAAGAGCTTGCTGGGGCTCAGCAGTACAGCAGCACTTGACTGTGGCTGCAGGTGATACAGACAAGACAGACCCAGACTGTTCTGAGCGGTTTTGCACAGCTAAAGACAGGAGGAATGGCTTGCAAGTTGTAGGATGGAATTACAGTGCAAGGAAAGGAATAAAAATCACTGTGAGGGTGGGTAAGCACTGCTACATCAGCCCAGAGAGGTGGTGGAACATCCATCCCTGGAGACAGTGGCAATTAGCAGGACAGATTCTGTGATGCTGCGGTCCTGAGAGAGGCCCCGGGGGTTGGCAGGGTCGGGGCCGTGTGTCCCGCGCTGTCCCCGCGCTGTCGCCCCCGGGGGT